CCCTACAAGCAGTCGTTGCCGTTTCCCCAGGTGACTCGCAAGGGTTCGCTCCTCCTGTAATAAGATTTGACATGCCATCTCCTACCTGCCAGGCACCATCTCCCTGTGGGGGGGGCAGGGAAGGGAGGGGGAAGTTCGCTGCTGTTGCATAACGGTTACCTGGAGCATCACACGTGTTCCCAAACCAGGGATGCCTTTGGACTGCAGGCGGGAGATTAATTTCTGTAATATCGCAGACCAAGTGCAAATAGCTAGGAAGAAACTTTCACAGGGCACCGCTCTCCAGCGTTCAAATGTTTCCCTTGTGCATTTCACAGTAATTCCTTTCCCACTCATTTAAGAAAGGCAAGTAATATGTTTAACCCTCCTCCCAGTAACGTGTATGTAGTGTAATGAAACAGATGGTATCTATAGATCCAATATACTGCTTTCCTGCATTTATTTCCCCCGTCCCCTTAAATCATGCATGACATCACTAACCACTGTCAGTGTGCAGTGTAACCCCAGACCCGGTTAGGGAGCAGGGCTCAGCATCCTCTGAGCTCCGGTGCTTTGCAGATTCCTTCTGAGACCAGCAAGATCATTTTTTTTTTGTTCGCACCAGCAGATGCCCCTCCCTTTATCATTTACCTGGAGTGTAAAGAATTTAATCAGCTGTTTGGCCAGAGTGTAGTGGGGCATGTGGCTGTTGCAATGCTATCAGTCTGCCTGTCTCTTTATCACACACGGGAGGTGTCCGGGCAAGGGAGATTGGCCTGTTGGTGTCAACCCCTGTCCCACTTGTTGAGGGTTTTAATTAGCAGAAGTTCGAATGAGGAACAGCAGAGACACCTCTTGTGCTGCAGGTTTGCCCCTGGTCCTCATCCTCTCTCTTCTCCCTTTCACTGCAGGACCTGGAGTGGCCGTAGAGGGCAGTGCTCTGGGTAGCCAGCCATGATTGCCACTGGAGGCCTCCTGAGGATCTCGGCTAGGAAACAGGACCCCTTGCGACCCCAAAGCCAGGTCCCCAAACGCAAACGCAAGGCCAAAAAGAAGCGCAAGAACGATGTGGTGGTGGTGAAAGGCAAGCTCAAGCTGTTCTCCCTCTCGGGGCTCATTGCCCTCTGTGGCATCCTGGTACTGCTGGTGGGCATCGCCTTGGCTGTGGTGGGCTACTGGCCGAAGCCTAGCCAGGTGTACAGAGAAGGCAGCTTCAGTGGGGGCCGGCACCCGACACCCCAGGGTGGCACCCCCAAGAACCGCTCCCGGAATCAGGAAGGGGCACAAGCAGGGATCCATCCAGGGTCACCCCCCAGAGCCAACACCTCCACCACTGCTACCGCCCGGGGATCCCCACAGTCCCTCCCCACTTCCTCGTCCCCCCAGGCTTCCGTGGGTTTCCTTTTCCGTCTTTTCTCGAGCTACTTGCATTCAGACAAGCTGAAGGTGCTGGGGCCCCTCATCATGGGTATCGGCATCTTCCTCTTCATCTGCGCCAATGCGGTATTGCACGAGAACCGTGACAAGAAGACCAAGATCATCAACCTGCGTGACCTCTACTCCACTGTCATCGATGCCCACAGCCTGCGGGCCAAGGACGGAGGCACCCCGGCATCAGCCCCTCTCAATGGCTTTGTCAACTACATGCAGTCCCGGGGCCTGGAGCTAAAGCCAGGCGGTGAAGGCCTGGGTGCTGCGGCCATGCTGGCCAAAAGCTCCTGGCCACCAGGCTTGGGTGTCTCCCTTTCCCCGCCAGACCTGGCGTCCTCGCCGCGGCGTTCCTCCTTCTGCACCCCACCGCAGCCACCCAGCCTGGCCGAGGCCGTGTACAGCATCTACCGGGAGCGTGCTGCCCTTGCTGGCCGCACTGTCACCAGCCCACCCTGCAGCCCGCCGGAGAGCTGGGGCCGGCGTAGCACAGCCAGCTCCATCGTTGGCTCTTCACTGAGCGCTTTCACCCTCCTGCCTTTGGCACCGAGCGGCGGAGGGGGAGGCTGGCAGAGGCCCCCTGGCGAGCGGGGAGCCCGGGAGATCCCACGGGGGGAGTTTGAACTGAGCCTGACTGACCTCAGCAGCAGCCACATCGAGGGAGGCTGTGGGACAAGGAGGCACAAGCTGGTTCTCAGGCGGCAGAGCACCAGTTGCTTGCCTGATGCCAGGCGTCCCCTTTTCCCTGAGCCACTTCGGTCCCCGCCTGTCAGCAGGGGTCCGGATTCCACCCTCTTGGTAAAGGCATCTTCTAGCTACTCCAAATCTCTGGATCTGGGGGGGGCGCCCCCCTCAACCCCTCCTGCCATCACCAGGACGGACTCCCAGAACTCCCAGTCTGAACCTTCCAGCAGCAATAAGGGCTACAGCCACCTGGAGGAGGCAGGCACCTCCTTGGAGTCAGTTGCCAACACCCCAGCCAGTAAAATCCAGGACTGTGAGGAGGAAGCAGTTGAGAAGACAGACCACCTCAAGGCTACCAGCAGAGAACAAACTGGGGAGCAATCCCAGCAAACGCAAAGACAGTACACAAATAAAGAGAAACTCTTTATGATTTCTAGGTCGCATGCTGCATTAGGGCTGGAGGATGGGGAACTGGAGAGTACTGGCATCTAAACAAACCAGAGAAGGCACAAGGACACCGTGCAACCTTCCACACCTCCCCCCCTTCTCCATCTCCTTGTGGACTTGGGAAACCGATCAATATCCAAAGAGCTGCAGTATGTTACCCTTGAAAATTGAATTCCATAAATCCTGTAGATGACTTCAGGAAGAAAAAGAAAATGCTTTCTGTCCGATCGTGATTGTATGTTCCATGCAAGCCAAATTGTATTAAATATCCACAGCCTAGCAAGTTCTTTGGATCAGATTAATACAATTTCGGACAGTATAACTGTGCACTTTACTGTTTTGATTTCCAAGTGCCCCTTCTTCTCCTCTGATTTCTTTCTTGCTGATTTGCCACTAACTGCTTGAAAATCGCAGTCACCTTTGTAAGCTCAAGAGCCACGTGGTCGTCAGATCAAGAAAGCCGAGCTCTCTCTTTGTTTTGGTTCAATCACTAAAAAGTTTGCAAGGCCTTAAGGATGACGTACCTTGACAAAGAATGAGTTTGTTTAAATTCTGGGAAAAAATGACAATTTAGAAGAGACTGGAGCAGAACAGAGCTCTGATGATTTAGTTAAAACCATTACATTCCTGAATCCAAAATACCTACTACTACGTGATACTTTATTAAGTATTATTACACATGTATTGACTAATAGCATTAAAAGGGTTTTGTTTTTTTTAATAAAACATTTACAAACAAAACTGCCACACAAAAAAGTCCTTTATTTTGGTAAGTAATTACAGATATCAGAAACCTTTCGGTTTTATGCTGTGAAGGATTATAGAGACGCTATGAGGCCAAAGGTTTGCTTATGCTTTTAAGTGGGTAATTAGTAATTTAGGAGTAATTTCAAAATAAATACTGGTTCAGTCGCTGAGAAACCACACTCTAATTCAGTCAGCAGATTCTGTCTCTATTTCTAACAATGCTCTGTGACAGCTGAAGAAATGTGAGGTTTTGACATGCTAAGGAAAAAATTTTTTCAAAGGTTTGACCTGCTATTAAAATTAGATTTTTCGTGAGTAACACGTTAATCTTGAGCTGCAGAGTATTCTTTCTGGATTTTGCACTTCCCTTATAACTGTGGTATTAAGCCTTTCTGCCATTATGGTTCCTATTTGTGAGTGCATGTGCATAAGCTTAATTTTAGAGCCTAATGGTAGCCCTGTCAATCTCATAGCAGTTGGCCCTGTTGAAGTCAGCGGAGGTTTCTCACTGACTGCGGCGTGGTGAGGATTTCTTCTTGCGTGAGAAAAGTGTCAGGTTTCCTGAAGGCTGGAGAATGCCTCGTCTGTAGGCAGAAATTTTTTTTTGGTAAAGTGATGAGCTGTTTCATTTTCATAGCTGCAGCATGGCAGGCACGCTTTTATTTTGCCAAAACAGCTTTATGTGCTCAGAAGATTTTTGTCAATACTTCAGATTTCCAACGTGGATGTGGCATTTCACTACTATGGGAAGAGAAATTGACATTAAACAAATACAATGTGTAGGCAGGCAAGAGCCTTTCTCTTGCAAGTAGAATTTTTTCTTATGGTTTCCTGTTTTAAAAGGCTTAGTTACATATTTAACTATTTACATTACAATACACTGCAAAATTGAATATAACTATCACTATATGCAGTTGCATTTAGTAATCCAGCAAAATCCTTTATTAAATAAGGCTAATTTAAAAGAAAAGAAGAAAAAAAAAAAAAAGAGAACAATTTGCCATGTCAGGGTCCTGAAACTGGGGAAGCCGAAAGTGCTTGTTCTCTCGAGCAACGGAGACATCCAGGTGGCAATATCGTTCCTCCTGTCAGTGGCAAGCAGTGCACTGACAATATGAACATCAGTCTGGCATTTTTTGCTATCAAACCCCTAGCACGCAGCTGGCAAAAATACGTTGTGAAACTGCTGGGACTGGCATGGGCTGGATTAAGCGCCGTGTGAAGTGGCGAGCGGGCGGTTCGGCTGGCGCTGGCGTTTGCACGGGTCTTTCCTTTCAGTTCCCCGTGGGCGATGGCCCTGTGCTTCTGCTCCTTCTCCTGCAACGTCCAGCAAGATTTATGAGATGCACCTGCACAGCATTACCTGGTGCTGACAGAGATGCTAGTTACTGACACAGCTGAAGACACCCTGTTTGTATTTTCCATGTGAAAACCCTTCATGGAGGTGCAAGGGAAGAGGTGAGTCATGGGTGCTACTTACTGGGGCATGGGGTCCTTGAGAAGATGGGGGGGAGTGTGTGTTATTTTGAGAGGGGGAGACAAATGCTTTTTTTTTTTTTTTAATACTCTTAGTAAATATTTCTTCAGTCATTTGAACCTGCTCAGGAAAAAAATCCCACAACTTTAAAAAAGCCTCTGGGTACTCCTTAGATTGATTTAAAATAAAGCAGTCCAGTAATTCTTCTGATAATTAATTTACTGCAAAGCTTTCTGAATAACAAAATTACAACAGAGTTTGGGTTTAATAAGTAAAATTATAGCCTGTTCCTGTGTTGCCAAAAAAGGTGTGAAACATGAACTTCCATCAGTCAAGCTGGATTTTTTATAACAGCCGCTAGAAGTGATTTGTAACACAGGTAAATAAGCAGAGAAAGCTGCTTCTCTCTGGCAAGCTATCAAACAATCTCTCATTAGTTTTGCAAATTTATTGATTAAAACTATTTGTTGAGCAACTTACGTGGTGCTGGAGTTGACGCTGGAAACTTTTATTCGAAATTCAAGATGAGCAAGTTATTTTAACACGCTGATGTCGGAAAAGGACTGAGAAATTCCAGCCCTGTGCACCAGCCATGACTGCTGATAGCACCATTAGCCTTGGAGAGAAACACAGCATCTGGTGAAGGGCTGAACCTTTCCTGGTGATACCAGCAGGTGACGGGAGTGCTGGGGTTTATGCGTTGACCTCGTCTTCAGCCTCTCCCAGCTGGCTCTGACCGCTTCTCAGCATGGCCAGGCTGCCTCCTGGCCGTCGTTTGCTCATCCCGTCACTTGCTCATGCGTTTTTCTTCAATATAGTTTCTTCCATTTAACCTTCGTCTCCAGTGTCCTGCCACCAAGTGCTTCTTCCAGAGTCCTGGTCAAGAGCTGAGCAGCTGCTCCCGCTTACCAGCGTCTGCCTTGCCTGTGTGCTGCAAAAAGAGATGCGCTTACACACAAAATAGTTGTTAAGAAGGAACCGTTAGTCCCCCTATTTAAAAAGTGATATCCCTGGAGATACATTAAGCTAGAAAAACTTAGGCATGAATTTTCGCTATGAGGAAAAAAAAAGATATTTTGGTCCAGAAATGTTTCTTTTAGCCTAGCAGAAGTGCTATGATCTTTATATAAAATTTCCAGAGGAAAAGTTAGTTTCTACCCAAACTCTCAGAACTACTCCCGCCACTAGGTTGGTTTGTTACGAGTATAGGTGCTGCTTGGACCAGTCTGAGGACATAGGCAAGTGCCCTAATTGTACTTCAGTCGTGCTGCTGTTGATTACAAAATCCTCAGGCCTCTGGAGAAGCTGCTGACATGATCATGCTGTAACCCAGTTCTGGCTCGGTTTTCACTGGCTGGCAAAGTATTTTAAATCCTTGTGTTGACCTGGCTCCCTTGACTGAACTGATTTACTCCCCAACTGCTGACGTATCAGCTGATCCGCTACAAAAGACTACAGCCCAGATTTATTACGCCCTGTTGTTTAGATACATTTTTAACAGCCTTTTCCAGGGTTGGTGCTGCCCGACAGTGAGTAATAGTGCACGTATAAACATCGAATTAGGTAGCTGTTAACATAGCTTTAAGTCTGCTGTCTGAGATAGAATATGGATTTCCGTAATAGCCAAAACAGTTTACACAGAAGTAGCAACGAGACTTCAATTAAACAATAATTTTTATTAAAAGTAATAGAGATGGCACAATGGTAAAGGTTATTGGATTTCAGTCGGAGGAATAGCCTTTGATAATGTTTAACAGTTTTTCTTTCCAAACGAGAATATGTTCATGTGGATGCAATAAAAGAGGGCTGTATTTATAGTGAGAAATGAGAATTACCAATAATTTAAGTAGATCACTAATTAATGCTTTGCCTCATTAACCTATTTCAGTCCCTCACAGTTCTCTCTCCATGTGAAAAGAGGCGGGGGGAAAAAAAGGGAGAGAGAGAGAGAGAAAGAAAAGAAAAGAAAAGAAAGCAACAACCAACCTCTGGCCATAACCTAGCCAGAAATCAGACCCACGCAAAATAGGTGTGCTGAGCGGTAGCTGACAAAATCATAATAATCAATAAAAGTATAGATTTTTTTTTTTGCCTTTTTTTTCTTCTAGATCTAGTACATCAAACTTCCCTCAGAAAAAGCTGCTCTCTCTCCGACTTCTCCACGACTGTCAATAGCAATAACACAAGACTTTATCCAGGCTGCTTGATTACTATTTTTCTCTACCAAGGATGAGTCAAGGGTTCTGTTTCAGCCCGCAAACAGCAAACAAGATGCACAGCGCACTCTGAGAGGATAAATAGGGTCTCACAGCTACAGGCAAAAATCTGCCGTGGCAGAGTATACTAATATCTGTTTTATTTCAGAAGCCGGGCTTCCTATTTACCACTTCAAAAACCTCCAAAGCAGAAACATCTGAGCGAGCACACTAGAAAATACTTTCTACCTTTTAGCTTTCACCTTTTTCAGCGTGGAGGCAGAGGGAGACCCTAGAGGTCCAACAGAGGCAGGAATGACCAGGTAAAGTGGCACTGAAGTTTTAGCTACATTTTAATTATACTGAGACAGGGGACACACAGTACTACTTTCAAAGCTTTTCTCTCCCTTGTTACTCTTTTTAAATTACATTGCAATAAGACAGAAGGCTTGTTTGGCGAACATATCAAAAGAGATGCAAACTAAACAAGTGTCAAAAACCCTATTACAACCTCAGTGCAGGAGGTTCCCTTTTTTCCCTTCACCTTCCTTTGCACAAAGGAGTTTCAGTCTAAGTGATTTTGTGTGTTCCTTTTTCCTTTTTCCCTTCCCTTCACCTTCCCTTGC